TACTACTACAATAACTGTACTACTACAATAACTGTACTACTACAATAACTGTACTACTACAATAACTGTACTACTACAATAACTGTACTACTACAATAACTGTACTACTACAATAACTGTACTACTACAATAACTGTAATACCACCACCACCACCACTACAAGTCCGTGCATATGACACAGGTCAGAAAACAACTCTGTACAGTTAGTTTTCTCCCTCCACTTTTGGTTCTGGGTCTTAGACTCCATTTCCTTAGACTTATGCAGCAAGCAGCTTTACCCACGGAGCCATCGCACCAGCCCAAACTTTCCTAAAGTTTTGTGCAATTTGTATTTGATTGCCTGTGTCATTGGTAAGAAAAGGCACCCTCAAAGACTGAAAGTACTAAATGTTTTGTCCTTACTACATTCAGTAAAGTACTTCCATAATTTAAAACCAATTTACACACAAAACACGTCCTCCAGTTAGTAAGCAACTTTGACTAAATGCAATACAAACTCAAAGTTCCATTTCTTGGTTAACACTTTCCTTCTTTCCAAGAAGCAAACTATGAAAGTCTAAGTTTCTCGGTTATCATTGTCTTCAAAACTAGAATATATGACTTTGTCAGGATAACAAAGTAAGGTTAGCAGATCTAAAAACACCTTTTATTCTAATCTAAAGTTAAATCTACCATTCAGTATTTTCATGCTAATTCCCACTGAAGTAGAATTTAAGGTGTCTTATGAAAGCACATGAAGAACAAAGTATCAACCAAGAAAATAAAAGAACTAAAAAGAGAGCAAAGTTATCCAAAGAAATGGGGGGGGGGGAGCCTCAAAAAAGTTGTGACATGGCTGGCAGTCAGGGCACATACCTTTTAATCCTAGCCAGCACTTGGGAAGCAGAGGCAGGTGTATCTCTGTGAACATTAGGCCAGCCTGGTCTGCAGAGTTAGTTCCAGAACAGCCAAGGTAACATAGAAAAACTGTCTTGAAAAAAAAAAAAAAAGGTTGAGACAGATGATAGTAGAGATTAAACAAAATCTATAAAAGCAAGGTAAGACAGACTCAGTGCTTTAGCACTCCTCAAACAAACTGCATCCTGAAAGACTGAGAAGGCAGGTCAAAGAGAAATAAACTGTTACATAATGCAGAATAATAAACTTAGAGGCTCATTACTTTAAAAAGAGGAGGGGAAAACAGGACCCAGACATAAAATGTGAGAAACTTCTAAACAAATTTAATCATGATCCTAAATGGAGAAATTAAGACAGATGGATGGATAGATAAATGGACACTCCCAGGTTTCCATTCATTTCTACAGAGCATCTTTATTCTGCCCACATTTAGTTGTCTGGATGGACCAGAATTCTCAGTCTTACACTACCTATGTTTCTTGTTACACAAAATCCTACAGTATGTTAAGCCTTAAGACGTTTAGTTTAACTTTACATATGCGAAACATTACTTTTCTGTACCTCTAATTTAGCACTCAGAATGCTAAATGCTTTCTTAAAAGAGTATGAAGTTTCTAAGTTAACAAATAGAGACAAATAAGAAAAGCTGCACACATGCCCTTTCAGTCCCTAGTAAAAACCTAGTAAAAATGTGCTATCACTTAAAATATATTACTCTCTCTCCCCCCATCACAAAAAAAAAAAAAAACAAATGAAAGCAAAAAAGAAAAAGAAAAGAGCTGCGGCAACTTTTACGAAATGGTAATTTATTAAGTGCTCTCCCTGAAATAAGTCTCAGTGAGTTGTGTATCCTAGGAACTCGGATTCTCCTGAGCCAACAGAAACATGCAAGCACTCTACACATCAGTCTGTAGACATGGGAAATAAAGCGTTGAGGGCATCAAACTCCCCTATGCACAAAAAGGAAAACTAGTCTTCCTAGCCAAGGCAACTTCAAAAGCAACACTTAGGAAAGAAAAAAAAAAAAAAAAGAGTTGATTCAAGTGATTCCCACGTGGGAATCCATGGGAGTTTCCCTAAAAGAAAAACCACTGCCAGGATGAAGTTGCCAGGAAAAGGTACAGGAGAGAGTTGCCCAAGGGTTTTCTCAGTTTGGTGTCCAGAAAGGTGCAAGCGTCCACTCTGGAGACACAGTTCCTCTAAGAAAAACTCCTGAGTACTTGCATTACTCCTGCAAACTGACGCTTTCTCCCATCTGTAGAAAGGAAAGGTCTCCACTGCCAATCCTCCTGAGAAACAGCCAAACGCCAGCATCAAAGCACTCACCCGCTCCCACTTGTCACCTTATAATGTCCCCCCTCCCCCGGGTCCACTCACGCTTCAGAGTCGAGCGGTGGCGCTGACAATGTGGCTGGCTCCCTTCCTCCTTCGGGCTGAGGCGGGCAGCTGCGGAAGGCTAGGCGCGGAACTGAGGAAGAAGCGGTGCTAGCGTCGCTCCACCAAGCAGCTACCCAGGTCTCTTCCGCGCTGCCGGGATAGAGGCAGCGGCGGCAGCGGCGGCGGCGGCGGCGGCGGCGGCAACAGCCCCGCTCACCGCTTTTTCTCTTCCTGGGTCCCTGCAGGCTGTGGCTTCAGCCCGTCCTGGGCCACTTGTCCCGGGACAGTCACAATCAGAAAGCTCGAAGATTACGTTTGGGTAAAGTTTCCTCTGGGCGGAGGCTGCAGCCGGCCCCCCAGGTCCCCCCCGGCCCCGCCGCCCTGGGAGGCTGGGGCGGGGAGGGGGCGCCAAGAACTCCTGGAGTCCCGCTGAGGAGCCGGGGTGCGGCGGCGGGCCCAAGGAGAAGCCCCCCAAGAGGGGGTGAAGGGGAGGGGAGGGGAAGAAGAGGACAGCGGCGCCGAGGCCGCTCACCACGCTGCCGCGGCCGTTTCACATCGGGGTCCCCGCCCCCCCGGCCCGGAGGTGGCTCCTGGGCTAGGGGCCCCGGCTCATACACTCCGCTATGGGATGCTACGGCCCCGGGCGACCGGTCTGGACGGCGGCAAGGCTGGGGACCCGGCGGGCTCGGATCGGCGCCGCCCCCGCTCCCGGCTCCCGCATGTGTCGCGGTGGCCGGGACCCCCTCCCTACACCTCGGGGGGTCCTTCGCCCCACAACCCGGGGCGAGGCAGAAAGCCCAGCCCCTCGCGGGCGTCCTCTCTCGGCTGAGCAGCTACGAGTCCCGACCCGCGGCAGCCGCCTCCCTGCCCCCCGGCCGCGGGCTCCGGCTTCGGCTCCGGCTCTGGCTCCGGCTGGGGCTCCGGCTTCGGCGTGTGCAGCAGCCGCTGCCGGCCGGGAAGGTAAGGGGGGGAGCAGACGGCGGCCGCGGCTCCCGATGGCCCGGGCTGCGGCGAAGGTCTCGGCGGCGGCCAGTGCACGGGCGCCGGGTCTCTTGGATGCTCGCTCACTCACTCGCTCTCACGCTCTCACCGGCGGCGGCGGCAGCGCCCGAAGCTCAGCTCGCTGTCTCTCTCGCTCTGTGCGGGGCTCTCGCCTCACTCCAGAGAGGGGCGGGAGGAGAGCGGCGCCCAGCGATGACGTAAGTCGCCTAGCAACCGCTCTCCTCCCCCTCCCTTCTCCTTCCTCTCTGCGCCTTCCTTTGCAGGCCTTTTCTCCCCATCTCCAGCCACCCCGCCCTGGGAGGCTGTGGCGCGTTCCGATGACGCACCAAGGGAAGAGGAAGTCGCGCTCTGCGAGCGGGTGGGTGCGCCTCGGGCCGCGGGACTGCTGCTGTTACCGCCGCCGCTGCTGCCGCCGCCTCTACGACCGCGTCAGAACTGAAGAGAGGAAGGGGAGGAGCCCAGGCAAGCCTAAGCTACCGCCTGATCCTACCCCTGACCCTAGGGCGGCGCGGAGAGGGAGCTCCGTAGCGGTTCCCTCCCGGGCAGGTGTGGACTGTTCCTCTGGGAGTAAGAGGAGGCCCGGGACTGGGCTCGGGCGCGCACCACCCGAAGGTGAGGCATTTGGCCCGGAGCAGATACTCGAACCGAGAGACGGGTGGAAAAGTTAACCTACAGCCCAGTGGCTGCACCTGCTCCCGAAAGCGAACGTCCCACACTTCCCGTGGCCTGGGGTGAAACCATGCGCCTCGTTCTGTGTAGTAGTGCGGTCCGAAGGTTTGATGCGTGAGTGAATTAATGAATGAATGAATGAATGAATGCCTCTCGCACAGCAAAAGCGGAACTTGGAGGCGATGGTGGAAGCGCAAGCGTTTTGTAAATTAAAGCGTAGAAACGTGAGAGTTGTAATACATCTATCTCCTTCCTCACCCCCACCCGCCCCTGCCATGAAAGAAAAAGGATGCTGTTCGTTTAGAGTCACAACTTCAGGCTTTTGTGGAAAAGGAGGCGAATTGCCAGGGTTGGAGAACAGAGGGCTGAAAGAGAACCAACCTCTAGGATATTATTTAGGGAATTTCTATGTTTTCAAGAGGCGAATGCAGTCGAGCTTCCCTTTTAAAAGTCATTGTTGTTTGTCGTTTGGAATTTTTTTTTTTTTTGGAGCTTTTTAGAGAGCTGATTCTGTTCATCAGAGTGCCTCTTAACATCTTCAAAAGATGTTGGCGCCTCTCGGGTCTTACGCACGCGCGCGCGCTCTCCTCTCTTCTCTCTTCTCTTCTCTCCTCTTCCCTTCTTCTTCTTCTTCTTCTTCTTCTTCTTCTCTCTCTCTCTCTCTCTCTCTCTCTTTCTCTCTCTCTCTCTCTCTCTCTCTGTCTCTGTCTCTGTGTGTGTGTATGTGTGTGTGTGTTACGGGGAGGAGTATGTTATTAATCTATTGGGTCGTTTGTCCTACCGATTCTGGTCTAGGAAATAAGTTTAAAGAAAAACTCATAAAATTTAGGCTGTGGTTCTCTAGTAAAAGAATTTTCATGATAAAAGGACCGACCACAGTGCTCAGAAATCTGCCGTGAACCTGCCTTACTTAGTGGTGTGACAGTGAGATTAAAGCAACAGCAAAGAAGAAAGGAAACAGTTGTGTGGCTAGACCCCTGCCTCTGGAAGCAACAGTGATGACTATCTGTCATAAGTGCTTCGGGTCTCTCCACCCTGCTTGGGAGATTGGGCCAAACAGGCTCTGCATGCATTTAAGAAGCAAGCCCAGGTTTATGCCCCTACTGTACCACCTCATGCAAAGTAGATCAAGAAAATGTCTATGTTGATAAACCAAGGGTTCATTTTTGTTCAAAGGCTACAAAAACAAAAAATTGAGTAAAGGGGAGAGGAGGATGCCACAAAAGTAAGGAACAGCAAGTGGCACCAGGCCCTTCTGTACTCCACCTGAAATCCCAGGAGTCAAATAACTTGCCCTAATTACCCTGGGCTTGACTGTCTACAAACATGATCCATTCACAGGCTGCATTCAAGTAAAATTCACAGGGAATCAGATCAATTAATTCATAAACAATAGCTCAACATGACTGCAACATAATCCTTTTATTGAACTCTCTTCCTTACAATAGGAATTAAATAAAATACAGGTGTAGAGGAGTTTTGGGAGGCTGAGCATCTTGGAGTTTAATGTTGTGGACTTTGAGTGAAAAGAGTGTTAACTTCAGAGCCATGCAACCAAAGATGCTTCTGGAGAAGTGTAGTACAGAGTGTCAGCTCATTCGCCTCATTACTGAGGGTTAGGATGGCACTCCCAAGAACCCTGAGCAACCTACTCAGGAAGAGTAGCGCCACTAAACTTGTTGAGTAAGGACCACTCGTCTCCCTGTCCACCTGGTAACAGGAGTAAACAGCTGTTGTACAACTGGCTGCTGGAGAGGAGGGAATTCATACATCTCCAATTTGTTCTATATCCTTACATTGCCTTTTAATCCAGAAGAGAAATAAATCCGTTAAATCAGATTTCTAAAAAGAAAATCAGAAAAACGTATTTCAGCTAACCTTGTTCTTTTCCTGACTCACCAGTTTATCATAAAGATCTATATACTATGTTAAAGCAGGACAAAGGGATCTCTGTGTAAGGTTCATAACTTTTCCCTTGAAAGTGAGCTTCTATGAGAAAGTGCTCAATGTTTTATTATCCCACATCAGTGGTTTCTACTGTCAAACACTATATAACATTAACTGGCAACATTTCTAAAGATGTACTATAGCATATCAGTTAATTTCAAGCATTGTTGTGAAATAGACTTTAAACATGTAAGATGATTGCGTGCTGTGGGTAATTATCAAAGAAACTACTATGTAAGCAGTGAAACATGCCAATAAATGGAGTTTGCTAATCCTCAAAAGCCGTGTAATGACCTTCCTAAACAACTCTCCCTTCTGGGACCAGAGAGTGGACATTATTCTGACATTTGTGGTAATCATTTCCTTGCTTTTCTTTGTTTTATCACAGGTGTTCATCCCTAAGCATTACATTTGGTTTTTTCCCTTTCTTGTGAATATTCTATAAAGGAAATAACGTGATGTGTAATCTGTTATGCTTACCATATTTGCTCATCCTTGCTGCAATCCATATGTTGTCCAGGTTCATATAGCTGTAATTTGTTCCCTTTAATTTCTGAATATTCAGTGTTCCGTTGTAATAATATATAACAGTTTGTTTGCCATTTTGTTGTTGATAGGAGTCGGGGTTCAGTTTCAGGCTGTTATAAATGCTGTTGCAAATATTCCTTAGGTCTTTACTCCATCCCATCTACATAAATTCCTGTGAAATCTGTACTTGAGAGTGTATGTCTTAAACTTGAATAAATCATGCTGTGTGGTCGTCTGACATGATAGAGTCACATTAGCTACACAAGTGCCATTGCTCCACGCCTCACAACCATTTTGAACTCCGAGACTGGGCTACAGTTATGCCACCAAATGAGTATATTCAAGACAGATTTAAGAGTTTAGCCTACCTACTTATTTTTATGATTTGATCATAAACTGTTTAAAGTAGGACACACACATATTCCTTACAAAACAATGCATTTTCAACTATTAAAAATGTAACATCTTAGCTTTATTTTCCCTCAGTTCATAAAGGCAGCATTTACTCTCAAAGCTTTAAGAATAAAATCTCATGTTGCTTTATATTTTTCTCATAGACAATTATAAGACGTTGTTTTCCCACCAGAGCTTTTGTCTCTCATTTCCTTGGTTCATTGATTTTTATAAAAGTCACAATGGCTTATTCTTTCCTACACAGTTCCTACTGTATATTCCTACTGTGTAAGTATGTGGAAATATAGGGAATTATTTTTGTAATTTTATTAAGTAATTTCACATATACTGTGACATGCCACCCAATATACTACATTTGACCATTATTTTTTTCTTATCTCGGCACTTTGTTTAGACACGATATTTTAAAACTGGAGGAAGCTGGGGCCCTGAGAAATTGATTTACCAAGAGTCAGGAAAGCAAGTGAATAGGAAAGCTGAGCTCCACTCCAAGTCTTCAGAAAGAGACCATTCCATTCTATCCTCTGACTCAGTCTTCTGGAGGAAGACTGCAGAGTGATTCCCAGGCTCTGTAGGACACTGTTCAGTTCCACATAACAAAGCTCTAGTGGAGTAAGTTTTCTTCTGGCCTAAGAATTTTAGGACCTGTGAAAGAGAAGAACTTGCCAGGAAGGAGAAGGGTCTAGGAAGACAATGTAATCAAAGTACATTATGTGTGAAATTGTAGACAATTACTTTTTAGATGAATGACATTTTTAAGATTAATAATACTTAAAGGGGATTAAATAAAAGGAACCTTGCTTTAAAAATGAAAC